ATCACGATATTTATCTTAAATCTGATGTATTAATTTTGGCAGATGCATTCGAAGCATTCCGAAAAGCTTCATATTCAACATTCAAGTTAGATCCAGCAAATTATCTAACAGCTCCAGGTTTGGCATGGGACACTTGTATGAAGGTAACTAAAGTAAAACTAGAATTATTTAATGAGTATCAAGGGGATATGCATGACTTCTTTACAGCAATAAAAAGAGGAGGAATGTCCTTAGCTAGAAGACGTATAGCTCGAGCAAATATTCCAGGATTAGAAGGGTACGATGGAAAAGAAGCAAAAAAATGGTTACTCTATCTAGATGCTAATAACTTATATGGTTGGGCAATGTCGTAATATTTACCAACTGGTGAATTTAAATGGCTATCAACAAAACCTTTGGATGCATCTCACCCTTTAGTGCAGAAAATTTTAACGATAAAAGAAAAATCAAATCGAGGATATTACTTAGAGATTAAGTTATCAATTCCAAAAGAATTACATCCTAAATTTCGAGACTATCCATTGTGTCCAGAATGAAAAAATGTACCATATGATTGGTATAGTTCAAAACAAAAAGAATGGGCAGACGAATAACGTTCAGATGTAGAAAAACTTATATTAACTCTACATGATAAAGACCATTATGTTATTCATTATAGAAATCTACAGCAGTGTATAAGAGAGAGGTATGTTCTGAAAAAAGTATATAGAGTTTTAGGTTTCGAGCAATCTCCATAAATGGAACTCTATATAACAATAAATACGCAACGACAAGCAAAAGCAAAAAATGCATTCGAAAAAGACTTCTGGAAGTTAATGAATAACTTTGTATTCGGGAAAACTATGGAAGATATTAGAAAACGAGTGAATATAGATTTGGTTTAACAGGTAGGTAAAGAGTGACGATTACGCAGACTAATTTCAGATCCTGTATTCGTTAGTCGAAAAATATTTTACGGAGCTAATTTAGTAGCAGTACATCAAAGACAAACCAATGTAAAACTAAATAAACCTGAATATGTAGGGGCATGCATTCTCGATCTCTCTAAATATTATATGTATGACTTTTGATATGGATATCTTAAAAAGAAATATGGCGATAAAGTAAAACTTTTATATACAGACACAGATTCATTAATCATAGAAATTGAGACTGAAAATATTTATCAAGACATGATTGATGATTGTGATTTATTTGATTTTAGTGACTATTCAGAAGATCATTGGTTATTAAAAAATCTTCCAGAAGATCAATGGATAATTAATAAAAAATGTAAGTGTGTTTTAAAAAATACTAAAGTTATAGATAAGTGGAAAGATGAAAATGTAGGCATTAGAGTTACTAGTTATGCTGGAGTTAGAGTGAAATGTTATAGTGTTATTACAGAAAATCCACAAAAAAATATGATAAAAGTAAAGGGTCTTAAAAGTCTCTTATTAAGAAAGAGCTCACACATAAAATATTCGAAGACTGTGCTTTGGGAGGAAAAGAGGATCAACCTCGAACTGCTCAATTTTTCCAAAGTTACAGACATCAAATGTATAGGATTAAACAAATAAAAAGAAGTGTTAATCCACTAGATACGAAATTGTAGATAGGTCAAGATAATGTAACGACATATTTATTTAGTGATTGTGAAATTCTGGAAGAATAAAGCGGTTATATTATTAATTAGATAAAAAACCATAGTTAATAAAATTCACATGTTTGAGATATATAATATGCATACATATAACCCACTTACATTTCTGGATACTATTGGTGAAATCGTTTAAAAACTTTCATTGGAAGATCTCAACAAATTCTGTAGGATAAATTGCACTTGGTACAAAGAAATTCAGCATGAACTCTGAAAAAGATTGGAGATACAAGTGTTAAAAGGTTATAAATTAAAACTTGACAAAAATAAAGAACAAAAGGAAGCACTAGAAAAATATTCAAATGATCTTTTCATATTAGGATATATTGATACTGAATTAGACATGCAATATTATAAAAAACAATTTGAAATAGCTAAAAAGTAAATAGAGATCGAAAAGTATATGCTTGTTAATGGAATATTAAGTGAATCAGAAAAGGAGATCGTTAAATTTAATATACAGCAAATAAAAAATAACACAATCTCCTGGGATACTATAGAAGATTGGGATTTAATAGAATTAGAAGATTGGGATGATTTACCTAATTGATCGAACAAGCCTAAAGATTAATGTAACAAGTGATCAGTGAATAATTGATAGAATTTTGGATGTAGGTAAAACACGTTGAGCATTTATAATAAATTATGCATTTTTTTTCTCACTGGGATATAACAACCTTATAACTGCGAAGCAAACATGACTGATAAAAAAATTCCAGTATCGACACAAGCTAATCTTTCTATAAAGGAGGAATGTCTCAAGAATTTTTTCATTGCAGGATTAAATCCCAAAAACCAGCTAGTAGCAGAAGAATACAGAAAAGATTTTCCATTAGAAAAGTTAGTAAAATTACTGACTATAAATGAAATACGTACTAAGCATGATCCACTCCCACCATATCACCTATAAAATTTAAGGCATCGTAGTAAAAAATTTTTAGCAGAGGATTATAACATGTCTGATCGCATATATAAGATTATGATGATGCCGAGCATCGAGTCTTTGACTCTCCAATAAACGATGTGCTAATTCTATTAATTTCATTTCAAGATTTTTTATTTATCAAATGTAGGGAAAGCGAGTCGACCTACCCATCTGTCATATATATTTTTTCAGTTAGCTCTGGAGACAAAGGTAATAATTACATAAATCATGATAAAAAATATTTCTAGTATAATATCCAAAATGACAGAAAAATTTAATAAATATGAGGAACAAAAAGTAGGCTCTTCAAGATATTACTTTATAATAGAAAATGAACTTAAATATCTCAGAGGTTCCATTGTAGCTCTGAAGAGAGATATGGACAGGTTACGATGGGAGATAAGGATTATTGATAATCAATTTTCAAATATATTCAAAGAAGATACATATAAATCTGTAAATACATTTCATAATATTAGCTCAGAGGATGTGGAGCATCGAAGCTTTGCATCTTCTGAAACTGAATTATCTGATGATATGGAAATTCTCACTTGCACCTCAAAAAAGAAACATGTATCTAAAGACCTTGATCCAGTCTATTCTAAATATACAAAGAAGCGAAATAAGAAAAAATAAAATATATAGCGAGCTGATATCTATGATATCTAAATTTGTATATCAGGCAATTGATAAGCTAATAAATTAACCTATTTGCCATATTTATTTTTTCAGTTAGCTCCATTGATTATCTATTAAATAAAAAGTCTAAGTTAATAAAATTCACATGTTTGAGATAGCAAATATGAGTTATAGCAGAGTAAGAGATAAGTTAAGTGAATATGGTGAAAATTATATTGTTAACATTATTAAAATGCCAGAAGCATGGTTACGATTTGCAAAATATTATCCACCAAAATATATACGCAAGCGTTTATTAAAACTAGGATATGAAATAAATAGTAGAGATTACTGGGAAAATTTTGTATTTCGTGTTGAAAATAATTTAACCAGCTATAAACAAATAGGTAATGACCCTAAATATAGAGATTTTAAAGTTCAACTAGCATTATATAAAAAGAATCGTGCATCATTAATTATCCAGCGAACATATCGTTTATGGAAAAAACAAATTAATTCCGCTAAAATAATCCAGCATACAGTAATTAAATGGCTTTATCAACCCAATGGATTATTTATGAAACATGCCAAAGATCGATTTTATCAAAATGCAAATATATTACACAAAATTTAGCCACGTTTTCGTGCGACCCAATTTCTATATAGATGTATTTCAGAGAAATGACACAGTCTCGTGAAACATTCTTGTGTAGCATAGATAATCGTTATACGTATTTTTTTCCGCTTTATTTAGTCAGGGAAAACATCTATATTACTCATGCTTCACGATAAGAACCATCACAAACAAGGCGATAAGGAAGGATAGCTCAACAATCTTTTTAGTGCGCATATCAAAGGGCATATGTTTTTGGAAGTCGAAATCTCCGCAATCTCCGAGATCGTCGTGTGTCTCCCAGCTTTATAACCTGCATAATCATATACTATAAATAGCCACTGATTAGAGACGAAATTTTTTTTTCATTTTCTTTACTCGCATTATCTCACTTCATAAACGCAGCGCATAAACCAGATTTTTTTACGCCGTATACCAATATAAAAAAAATATGTCTTCTCACGCTTCTTCACCTTCCTCACCTTCAAGCATATACTCCGACGAAGAAAAAATAACTCGTACCATAGGCGACGTTATTAAAGATTATGATACTGAGGAGCTTATCGACTATTTGGATAGGAATAATTTAAAACTTAAGGAATCCCATTTTGCAATTCTTCGTAAACAAGAAATAGCTGGTAGTGACTTTCTTGAATTAACTAAGGATGATTTTCAAAAAATTGGTTTTGCTTTTGGTCCAGCTACAAGATTGGCAAAATTTGTTGAGGGGCTTAATGAGACAAAATTACAGGCTTTCTCGTCATATAATACATTAGATAAATTGAAGGAGGTACTTCGTAAATATAAAGTTAATGGTGCGGAGATTACCGATATCAAACAATTTAATCCAGGTATGTGTTACTATTTTTTAGACAAGTATGTCTTGCTCTGCAATGGCAAAAGCGATCAAATCCCAGATATATAATAATTTATTTTCCGTAATATAGTATTCGAGGAAATCGATGATGATGATAAGTTCCTTGAACAATGCATGAATGAAATAACATTAAGACTTTCGAATTTGGAGGCGATGCAAGATAGTGCTAATGAAGCAACCCGCTGTGTGTTTATCACATCTATATTAAACGCATCGCTTGCTATCGCCCGAAGGGTCACTGAAGAAGAAAAAATATACATATCTTATCAAAAATCTGTTTCAGGCGAGGAGTCATCAGGACGTGTTGACTATGCAATTAAAGGAAAAGAAGATCTCGTGTGTATAGCCGAAGGGAAACCCCGTAATGTTGAAATCGGGTATCTCCAAAACATTAAGCAGCTAGAAAGCGCACGTCATATGAATAAAGGGAAACGAACCGCAGAGCAGGCATTTGAAAACGACGATGATTATCTTTACGGGATAGTCTCTACAGGTATAATTACCAGCAAATATCTATTAGTCTATGGCACTTATTTTCTGATTATCGTTATCTTATTTCTACATAGCTACAGAATGGCACTTTATCAAACTCGCTACGGAAGGGCTATATTGTACCAGCAAAAGCGAATATCGGATTAATTTATCCAAGACAGCATTGAAAGAGAAATTGAATCGATCAGGAAGGGTGTAAGAATAGTAATTGGTGTGGTCGTGGGACTGTTGAGGGATAGGATTACGATGTGCGATGAACATGAAGTTAAAAAACGTCGCATACATCAAAAATAACAAATATTCTTTTAACTGTATTTTATCATGTATCGTTCATCTGTACGCCTATATATTTTATTGTAACAATAAAGCACATATATGTATATTTTTTGCTACATTTTTCAATATATTATTTTCGTGTGACATCGGTTGTCATAGTGGCGCAGTAAATTACTTTATTAATATCTGATCGTGACATTTTGTCACGGTTTTTGTCGCGTATAAAATTTACACGTATAATTATTCTTTATTCAAAGACGCTATGTCTACCACTTCAGACAATGAAATAACTGGAGAAGCATATCCCGGTCATTCCAGTAATCTTTGGCATTTCCTTTTGTTGATTATCGGTCTGTGATAGTTTTTAATTTTTATTTGATCTGACAGTTCTTCGTACCTACGTGAGTAAGACTCTTCCGAAAAATATATCTTACATGGAGTTCCTGATTTCGAATAAAGAAACAATCAAGATGCTTCCAACGTATGCGAAAACTTGGGAAGGAAATCATACTGCTTGGAGTCAACGCTTTTTGCTAGAAATAGAAAATTTGGAAACTGGCGTAATAGAAAAGGTGATGTGTCTTTTTTTTTTTCCAGGAAAGAATGAAAGGGCTATTCTTGACGAGTAAATCCCGGATAGATTATGGGTACCCTCCTGCCCGAGTGGTGGTGTGGATAGCTCCTGACGAGTAAATCCCGGATGGAGTATAAGTGAAATCTTAGTTCCACCATGAGCGACCTACTTTCCTTCCTGTTTTTTTACTCTTCGTCTTCACGCTCATTAGAATGATTTAAAAGATAATATACTAATAATACATGTTTTTAAAGGTTAAGAACGAGCTCAAAGATGTGCGATACTTGAAAGCATTCTGGACATCAATAATTCATCAACGGAATCAGGTTTGTTGCTGACAAATATACATATTCGAACAGTAGTTGGCAGTTTTTATGCAATATTAATTGATTTTTACGATAGTTATCCGTCAAGGAAATGTTTGATGATAGATCCCTTCACCTTGTAGAATTTGCCGGAAGATCACAGATCCAAGGAATCGAGAATTTATATAATTTGTCACCAATAAAAGAACAAACAAAAAACGCGAGCGATGGGATTCTAGATAACTCCCAACCACCATTAAAAAGGCTAAAGAAAGACCAACCGGTGTTGGCAGAAGTATACTTAAATTTTTGATTCTTTCACCGGTTATGCAAATATCCTGGCTCATTGACGACAATATAACAAGGCACACAACAAATGTGAACACTAACTTGACTATTATAACAGGATGAGCTTGCCACACCCGCTGAACACCCAACTCTTCAACATGACAGGCAAGAAAATTTGATTCGAGAGAAAATTACAGGTTTAGAGAATGTAGATGATGGTCGTACGTACAAGCGTCACAGGTCACAGACTCCGAATAATGAGGTAGGTGTACATTGATTCAAACGGCCAATGTTTAATATGAAAACTACTTCTTACCCTCTTATCTTCAACGTGTTTATCAGAATAATCCAAAAGAAAATGACACAGAAGCAATTAATACCGAACAAAATTTAGGAAAACAAGTTGAGGTAGGTTTCTATAAATGATCAATCATACATCCGAAAATATCTTTCTAACCTGTTCTTTTATGACTTTTCTTAGGAAGAACTTGTGAGACAGTACAGTTTCAGAGAACGAAAAGAAATTAATTATAATAAAATTTCAGGCTCGGACATAGATCCATATCATGTAATTATTTAACATAAGTGTATATACCGATGGATCTCTATCATCAAAGGATCAACTAAAAACAAAAATCTACAATACAAACGGATAAAAGTAAAGTAATGAGTTTTGGAATTACATTTGACATTTCAGAAATAGACACCCCAATAGATATCTGTGGAAGGATAGAAGGTCCCCTTCATCTACTAGGGCAGAATTATGGGCTATTTTAGTAGCAATATACGTCATCCCTAATATGACGTCAGTGAAAATTAATACTGATAGTTCCTCAGTTATTTGGGCACTTAGAGACTTTTTAGAAAATAAAAAGGGTAAAGCATGGAGTAATTATAAATCTCCAATATTGCTTCAAGCAATTATTGAGCTCATTAAAGGAAAACAAATAGAAATAGATTTAATAAAAGTGGAAGCGCATAGTGGTGTCCCGTTAAATGAACGAGCAGACACGTTAGCAAAAAAAGGACTCTTACATACAGAAATATGTAGTATAAATGAACAACAATTGAGAGATAGAAAAGCTTTGTTCAAATGGAATAACAAAAACATTGATACCTCCATTAAAGAGTTCATAAAGAAAAAATCAGAAATCAAATGGCTAGTAAAATGGCGCACACAATACCGTACTAATAAATGGGCAAATCAATATATAGTTAACTCCACTGATTGGATATCCACCTGGGAATTCATACATGATACCAAAATAGTATCAAATTATACTAGCACTGAAGATCAAAAATATCGTTCATTTAACATTAAAATATTAAATGATGAGTTACCTGTAATGAACAATTTAAATCAAAGAAAACCTACAGTGTATACAACTAACAAATGTCCCCTTTGTAAAACTAGAATAGAGGATTCAATACACCCCTTCTTATGTGGAGAGCAAGCAGAAAAGACAAAATTGAAATTCGAAAGTAGCCTATTAGATACAATACTGGATCATAAGGGTAGAGAGATGGCTGACAAAGTAAAACACGACCTAAATAATTTTACGAATTTTAAACTAGACATTCCTCGACAAATTAATGGAACCTCTCCAACTGACACATTTGGATTAATGGATTGTATCCGAGGTTTAGTTCCGGTTACCTTAAAAAACCTATTAAGGAAAAATGGAGGTAATATAGAAGATAATAAATTGATTTT